GTACAAATGCGCTTTACACAATTGATGTGTGTATGGATTGGGATAACAGTTGTATGAGCCCCTAATAAAATGTTAAAAAAAAAATAGTATCCTTTTACATTTGAGAATAAAAAAAAAATTAAAAAAAGCTGACAGTTAAATGTTGCAGCCACTTCTGATAACGTACATGCGGGCCAACGCTTAAGGAAAATCCTTTTGGTGGGTCATCCTGTTTGGATGAAAAAAACGCTAACTTCTGCTTCCTTTCCTTGTGTACGCCAGTCTGACATGCTGCTTGGAACACCAGTTATTTGTATGACCTCAAGGGAAACGAATGAAACATTAAAATCCAAATTGCTTATATGGATTTAAAATAATATTTGTGGCATAATATTCTTCATTTTGTATGTAATATTTTTTATTCTTATGCAAAGATAATCAGCCAACCCGTTTGTTATTATTTGTGAAGATGGATTTTTTCTCATGAAACTCCCTATAGAAAATTTCAAGCATACATACAAGCAGAGAATGTACTCATCCCACAGCTTCAGCATAATCAGCAAGACTTTTTTCCCCATTACAATAACGTTTATTTTATTTTTAGAAGGAATTAACAGAAAGTATTAATAACATTTAGAGAATTACTTCAGTATTTCTATGATGTGTCAGTTGTTTAAGAGGACCTATTATGATTTCGTTTTCTCAGCTATACGTTTGAGAAAACAGTGTGAGGACGCCTCTGAGCTCCTTTGAGTCCACAGGGGAGCAGGGGCATCCATCTCTCCATCCGCCCAAAGTGATAACCACATGGCATGTCTCGTCTCGGTTCCTCTTTCACCCATGCTGGCACCGGCCCGCTGCTCTGCTGGGTTCAATAACCCATTGCAGGTGGCCACGCAGCACACAGACAGGATTCACGGTTATGGGAGTATTAGGGTTCACAGGACTACAAAACTTTAAGGATACAATCTTTGGTCCAAAGCAGTACCTCTCATTAGCCAGCAGCCTGGTCTCTCTCTGGTCCTCGGTCTCTCCGCCACATATTCCCTTAGCCTTTGCTGGGCTCCTCAGGCCAGGAAGCCCATCCGCCGCTCTCCTCTCAGTGTCTGGTCTCAGTGCTGCAGCTCCTCTCTCTGGTGTCTTTGCACTTGGCCTGGCCTGGCTTCTGCTCCCTCCTTAACTTCAGGCAGGCTTCTCTGAAGAACTTGCTCTGCTGGTGGCTCTCCTTCCTTGATGGTCCCAGAAATTCCCTTGTGTTCCTGCTTCTCAGATAGCTCTCATACCCAGCGAAATGGCAAAACTGCCCAGTCTCCTCTTTCAGGGTTTTGATCATCCTATTTGTATGGTCCCACCCAGCTGTTTGATGAGAGGTAGCGAGAAATGGGTAGAAGAGCCATATTAAATTTCATTTCACTACAACAGTTAATATAGTTTTGCTACATTATAGGTGTATTGTGGGTTTCCCCTCACTAGCTCAGGCCAGCAGTCTGTTCGCCGGTGTTTTTCTCACAGTGAAATTGTCTATAAACTTTGTAAGCTGTGATAGAAGCTCTTCAAAATGCTTTGAACCAAAAGTTAGGAAACAATTTCAAACGTTTAGAGGACTGCATTTCTAAGTCGAAGTCCAGGCGTCAGCTGGTAACGTTCTCAGGGAACTGTAGCGTTAGTGGAACTACAGATGTCAAGATTGCCTCGTCCCCTCTGTGTGCGGTGGCTCACGACGTACTGTGCTCTTGGCTTCCAGATAGCAGTGGTGATGGGCTCCTGCACCGCCGGAGGGGCTTACGTGCCTGCAATGGCAGATGAAAACATCATTGTCCGCAGGCAGGGGACCATTTTCTTGGGAGGACCTCCCTTGGTAAGAATGTATTTTCAACTATCATGCTTGGGAACAGTTTACGCTACTCTGCTTGACAGAAAATCTTTGTTTGGTGGGGTATGGGTTCCAGATTTTCAGAACAACAATTGATACGTGTACTGTGTGTTTTGAGCCTTACATTTTAACCTTTATAATTACATTGAATGAAGCAGCAGTTAAGAAACCAAACTATGCTTTGCCCTAGGAAAATCTGTTACAAAAGACCTCTTTCAGGGTTCAAAAAGCAAATGTGCCACTTTGATGATTAAGACGGGCTGAACCCAAAGGATTGCTGTTGGGTCATGGTTTGTTTTGCCGACAGCTAGGAGAACTCTTGGCCAGGAGTACAAGAAACATGCATGGTGACAGCACCTATGAGAGCAAAGCTCAACTCACCCAATGGTTGGAATTCAAGCCCACCAGCTGCTAGTATTTAAAATACCTGCAGCCGAGCAACACACACAGTTTACCCAACTGGTGGATGGATGGTGGCATTCGATGCAAATCAAAACTACAATGCGAGTCCATTTTACACCCACTAGGCTGACTATACTTACAGTAACAAGTGCTGTGAGGGTGTGGAGAAATTGGAATCCTCACACATTGCTAGTGAGAATGTCAAATGTCCTTTGGGCTGTCTGGAAGCTCCTTAAACAATTAAGGGTTACCATACCCAACGAAACCCACTGCCACCAGGTCAATTCCAACTCATAGCAACCCGGTGTAGAGGTTTCCAAGGCTGTAAGTCTTTATAAGAGCACTTAGCTTCATCGTTTTCTCTCTGAAACACTGGTGGGTTTGAACCGCAGACCTTTCGGTTAGCAGTCTCACACGCACCCAGCAGCACCTCCATATGTTCCATGAATTCCTTGGTATATACCAGAGAAATGAAAACATCTTCACAAAACCTTGTACTCAAGTGCTCATCGTAGCCCTAGAGTGGACACAACCCACACTATCATCAGTTAATGGACAAACAAAATATGGATAGCATACAATGGAATACCATTCATCGATAAAAAATGGAAATACTGATTCATGCTACAACATGGATAAACCTTGGAAACATCATGCTGAGTAAAAGAAGCCATACATGAAAGGCCACATAGTGTATGCTTCCTTCCTATGAAATGTCTAAGTTCACCCACAGCCATAATAGTCAATTCCAACTCCCTGTGACCCTTTCTAGGGTTTCTGAGGCTGTACATCTTTACTGGGGCAGACAGCCTCATCTTCTTCCAGCAGAGAAGCTGGTGGGTTCGAACCTTTGACCTTGCAGCTAGCGTTCCAGTGCCTACTTGCTAGCCCCACCAGAGCTCCTTTCAGAAATTCTAGACCAGTTAACTCCACATAGACACAAAGTTGTTGCCAGGGGCTTGGGGAAATGAGGAGCGGCGTGTGGCTCAGTGGTGGTTCACTGTTGCTTTGGGTCGATGAATATGTTCTGGAGTTAGGTAGCAGTAAAGGTGGCACAAGCCTGTGACTACTAAACGCTACTGAATCCTGCCCTTTCAGGTGATGGTTTTTATGGTGTGGGACAATGCTTGGTGAAGTAAAGGGTAGATAAAGAGAGGAAGACCCTCAACAAGCTAGACTGACACATTAGCTGCAATAATGGGCTCAAGCAAAGCAATGGTGAGGTGGTGCCGACGCAGCAGTGCTTTGTTCTGCTGCACATTGAGCGACAGGGAGTGCGAACTAACTCAATGGGATCTAACAATGCAAATCATATCTCAAAAGACAGTATTGCTTCGAAAACCTATCAAGGAATATCTTTGGCTCTAGAATACGTCATGTGAATTTTTAAAAAAGCTAAGAAAGAAAAGCATGGTAAAAAGAACTTATACTTTGAAAGAGATTAAGTGTGATCCCAAAATAATTGTGCTAATTTTCAGTGACTTACTGAAGAGCAGGTAAATTCAAAGAGCTGCAACTTCAAATGTGCTATAAATTTTAAGGGGGTATTCAGAAAGCCAATAGTGTTTATTACTCTTGGAACTTTCCCCCACCTCCAGCTGTATATGTTACTGTCATTGGCTAATCAAAGGAAAAGTCATTCAAAATATTCTTTTGACGCATGTCACACACTTTAAAGTGAATGGTCCTTGCTTATTGTTTATTAGAAAATAAATAGATGTGACTGAAAATTCAGAGCAACTTGTTGAGAATACAATCACGGGCCATAATATTGGAAGAATGCTAAAGGTTTTCTAGATAATATTTTATCTACGGGGAGATAGGTCTAATGTCTGTTTCCGTGGGTGTGGTTTTGTACATTTGAAAGAAGCTACTTAAGCAGAGAAGTCTGTGGGTTTGTTAGAGAAGGAACCTGGTTCATAGTGGACTGGAGGGTGTGTGTGGACTGGAGGGTGTGTGGGCTGGAGGGTGTGTGTGGACTGGAGTGTGTGTGGACTGGAGTGTGTGTGGGCCGGAGGGTGTGTGTGGACCGGAGGGTGTGTGTGGGCCGGAGATTGTGTGTGGGCCGGAGAGTGTGTGTGGGCCGGAGGGTGGGGAGGCTCAGCGGCAACTCATCTGTTAGAGGAATTCTAAACTCTGATGCTTGTTTTAGTTGAGATTCCAAAAATAACGTGGGGTTAGTTGCTCTGGTGGACGGTAGTAAATTTTTAAAGGTGCTATTTGCTTTCCAGTCGTTTGTATCTTCTGTACTTGTTATTAAGGAGTTGTGTAGTTACGGGTTGTTGCTAAACTGCAAGGTCAGCAGTTTGAAACCACCCACTGTCCTGGAGAAGGATGGGTCAGTCTAGTCCCGTAAAGGGTAGCGTCTCAGAAACTTAGCAGGGGCAGTTCTTGCTAGGGTCCCTATGAGTCAGCATCCACTGGATGGCAGGGAGTTTGGTTTGGGCTTGGTATTTTGGTAGAATAAGCTGCTTTATTTTAATTTTCCCTTTGAATGTTATCATCTTTTTACCTGTTACCATATCAACCCTGCAGTGAGTGTTCAATAAATAATGAATTGATGACAAATCTTGTTTTTTTCCACCCTGGTTTATATTAGTCAAAGCCCTTAGAATAAGTACAGCATGTCTGATGTTTATTTCTTTTAACAAGTCTAAATAATCAGGCACATATAATTAGTTCTTGTTTGGATTGAATTCTGTTCTACACTAAAGTTCTTTGGAAAGAAGAGAGACAAGAATTTAGTTTTGATGGTGGAATAATTGGAGGTGAAAATTTTAATTACCACTCCCGTGGGCTACTATTTTATTTATAACAAAGCTTTTGATGTAGAACAAGCAGTTATTTCTGTGCCATATTTTAGATTAGTGTTCATTATTCTAATGGAAACATTTCCTGTTTGAAGGAAAGGAAAAATTAATCAATCTTAAGAAGTAGCAATCAGTAAGTAAGTCCTAAGATGCCACGTTGGTATTTAGCACATAAAATTTTGTCTTCCTCCTTTCTGTTAAAATTTCTCAGGTTATAATTAAGGCATTCTTAATTTGTAACATGAGATCACTCTCTTTTTGATCATATATTCTGGAATTTTAGGTGTAGATAATCTCGATTTCCCCCCACCTTAAAGAGAGTACATACTGTTTGTTTGGTGGTGACTGGCAATTGTTTGTCTCGGTAGAGATTTTATGAAAAGAAGGCACTCCTTCAGTGTACGTTTATTCAAATGTGAGTGTCCGTACTTCCTGCTCTCAGAGGGCTCCGGGTCCAGGGGACAGACACCTTTAGGTCACTGAAGTGCACACTGACAAGTACCTGTAGGAAGTGCCAGTGCACCATGGTGAGAACACCCTGGGTGAGAAGACCCTGTGCTGTTAATATAGCTGTCATTATCGGTAGGAAGACTTGGGTGGGCTAGGAAAAGCCACATGGAGTGGGGCTGCGACCCTAAGTGAGCACTCACCAGGAAGGTGAGCGGGAAGAGGGTCCTGGCAGTGGGGCCAACATTTGCAGAGGGCTCTCGGCATTTGCAGCATAACAGCTGGGAGAGAGGATGGGCTTTCAGATCAGAAGCGTCTGGCTCCTTCATTCGTTCAGGGGCTGTGGGCAAATCCCTTCGAGGCTCCACACTCAGCTTTCTTCAACTGTGGACCGGAGAGACATTCTCTAGGCTTGCCGAACCATGCATGAGAAGACACGATGTTCTTTTCACTCCCTGGAAGAAAGGGCGGTGGGTGTCGCTGGGGGAAATTCATGCCGGGGAAGCATTTTGTTCCCTCTGGTGCGCAGACCTCACCACTGATCTCCCCTCATTTTGTAGGTTAAGGCAGCCACGGGAGAAGAGGTGTCGGCCGAGGACCTTGGCGGTGCTGATCTTCACTGCAGGTGACACAGGGGCGGCCACTTCTCTCTAGGATCGGCGGTGGATACCATCTGTTTAAAACAGTCTGGAAATTTGTTTTTTCAAGGGCTAATTTTACCAGATCAATGTGCGGGCCCCGCCCCCCCCAATCTCCTGTTTTCAGGTTAAATGATAAACAGTGGGTTTTATTAACGAGCTGGAGGATCAGCTCTGTTAAATACTGGAGAGTCAGGTTTCTTGTTTAGTTAACAAGCACCCATTGAGCACTTGTTAAATGCCAGGCACTTTTCGAGGTGCCGGGGAAAGGCAGTGAACGAGATGAACATGGATTTCATCTTCAAAGAGCTTATGTTCTAGGTGACATGGGAGAAACCAATAACAATCACAACACACACATGGATTGTGAGAACTACATAGGAGTAGTATAAGGTAAGACATGGAAGATAGATCTAATCCAGTGTAGTAAGTTGGTGTTTGATAACTGGTTTTCTGGGGGAAAAGGACTCCGATTTGTGGTATTTGCTGATTTTGTGGTATGAATGATCCCACCATGGCTGATTTCAAGTTAGCAACCTGCCGTCATCAAGTGTGCCAAGAGAGGTGCAATCATCTCTTCTGGGCTAGGTGTAAGCTGGCTCTGGCACTCTGCTGATGAAACCTTGGCAGGCTGGAGGTCAGGGGTAAGACTGTGATTTACCTCCTAGGATTTGTGTGGATTAAATGAGATAATAAGTATAAAGTACTGGAAGCAGTACCCACGCTCAGTAAGTACCTACACATACAACTGCCAATAGAAGTGTCCATCACTGGTCTTTGATGGCTTATGTTCTTTCATTAAGAGCAATAGGACCTTGTTGCAGGCGTTTCAGCAGAGATGTGGCTCCACCAGATACTGCATTGGAAGCCCACCTTGGCTGCCGTGTGGAAGATCCTGGGAGGACTGGCAGAGCCCTACATGGGCATCTGTTGGATGCTTGTATCGGCAGATGCTGGTTGCCTTTGGTGAATAGTGTTGGTAGGAATAGTAGAGGGAAGTGAATGGATTTGAGCTCCATTTTTGAGGTGGAATGGACAGGAAAGTGAGGTGACAGAGCTGTTGGCGTGGAATGTTGGGAGGAGCAGATTTGTGGGGGCTGGGCTCAAGCCTTCCTGTGGGACTGGATGAGGTAGAGATGCTGGGTGGGGAGAGATCTTTTTTTTTGGAGGCATCAGTGAAGGAGAGGTGAGCTTCAAAACCATGGAACTAGATGAGCTCACTGTGGGGCCCACGACCATATCCTTAGGAAATCAAGACTCAATAGCAAGCAGATCTAATCCCCAAACTCAGCAGCCCTACAGGTACAGGGACCTCCTTTTGCCTTTTCCGGTCGCAAACCCAGGCAACAATGGAAAAGAAGTCCAGTGGGTGGGAGAAGGAAGCTGTGGTAGCCTTCTGTTGGCTAAGGGGCATTTGCCTCAGTGTTTCATTCCTTGAGCACTTATTGGGGGTAGGCTGATTTTAATAAGAGTTAGGAGCACTTCAGAATTCCAGGCGGAATCCCTGCCTGCCCTCAATGATTTATAATTCAATTAGGCAGATAAGAAATATAAATGAATGAGTCAAAAGAGAGCTAAAGTATAATTATAGTAGTATACCTCTCCATTTACATCTAAAGACCAAAGGCAAAATGCCGAAGGGGATGGCTAGAGTAGAGTTGAAGGAGAGAACAGCTGAGAGTGAGGGATTGCGTGTCCTAACTGGGTTTGAACAAAATGCTTGTTCGTTCGGGTGCGTAGAACTGGATGAGCACGATGTAGCATTACTGCCTACGCACAGGGTCCCTCAGACAACCCTCTGGCTCTTTCAGTCTCTGGAAGACTCTGAATAGATGTTATATGCATCTATGCGCAGAGGTAAGGATACTGAGTTAGTTAATTGTGCCAACCTGGCCGATAATCACATGTGGGGCTAATTGAAAGGCGGAATGATAAATGGGTGGTAAGCCTCGTCTTTCTAGTTCTCGGGTCTCTTGCTTTGTGATGGTCGCACCAGGGTGCAGCTGCCTTAGCAGTTCCCTGCTTCAGCTTGCAAGATTGACTTC